GGCAGAGCATGCAGATGCAGAGCGATCACATAACAGCCAATGTGGTACAGAGCTGTACTACTGAAAACAGGAGATGTGTGCTATTGGAAGTCTGTAAAGCCCACCATAAATTGTACAATCTACAATCTCCTTTAGGTTTACCATCAACTATGTAGTGCAAGTGCCTTTCTGATTGGATACACAGTGATTGGATAGATAGGTGTGCACTGCTATTATATAGTTTTGGTAAATCTAAAGGAGATTGGGCCGAGATTGTGCAATCAGATTGTATAATGTATGGCCACCTTTATATACCTAAAATGAACTAGTTGTTAATGGCACCCAAACAGTGGAAGCAAACACGCATTTTGCCGCATTAAAAAAGTGCTACAAACACTGCAAAACATGCAGTAGAAAACATGCAAACTGAAATACACCAAAAAGTCGCATGAGCTACTTTACCACATGCAGGGCAGCCCACTGAAATGAATGCCCTATGTGTGTCATAGGAAAAAAAAGGCCAAATTATATGCGTTCCCACTAAACTAGGTGTAAATGGGGCCTGAAAGTGAAATTGGTGTGTTAATACAAGAAAAATGACAGCTGTACAATCTTTGTACAATTTCCTTTAGATATACCAACACTATATAACAGGAGGACCCACCTGAGCAATCTATTAAATTTGTATCAAATCAGACAGGCCCTTGCACTACATAGCTGATGGTAGATCTAAAGGGGATTGTACAAACAGATTGTATAGTGTATGGCTACCTTAAGGGAAGAAGTAGGAAAGTGTATAGAAATAAAAAGAGGTGAGATATAGAAATAAGGGAGGCTTGGTCTAGAGTGCATGATGGGATAGGAAATTTCCTGGATGGTCACATGATGCTACAGGAAGTCAGGGCTCAGAATGCATTTTCGTTTTGTAAATTTTGAACAGAGAGGTGCAGATTCAAAGCTGCCATGGACTAGGTGGGTGAAGGATAAGCACATTGGGATAGGTTCGGTAGAAACAATATTTTTAAAAAGGCTCCTGTTTATTATGAAATGTGAAATTCTAAGGTGAACTTAGCCTTTAGCCCTGGTTCACACTGATGCAGTGCGGAATTCGCAGCATTTTCTGTGCAAATTCTGCACTGTATCAGAATCGCACCCCGTTCATACGAACCGCTGAGGGTGTGTATGTTAAGTTAACAAAAAGAAAAAAATAGTGAAGCGCTTATATCACATAAATACAGTAAAGTGCATTCGAAAAAAATTAAAAATGAATTAATATGAATATAATTCTAATATTCCTGTGTAACAACTCTATATAATGAACGTTAATGCCTCCCTCTGGTGGGAGAAAAAAATAGTGCAACCAGATATGATTAAACTATAGTGATACAACACACACTTTAAAAACCTATTGTACCGTGCATATATCAAAATTCATAACGGAATGTGAATAAATAAGTGAAACAAATTAATTAACCGCATGAAATAGTGCCTAATTCATACACATGACATATACATCATAAGTGAAACAAAAAAAAATGTCCATGCATGTGACTGTGCTTTTCGAAAACACACGTGATCTCCACTTCTAGGTGCAAATAATCTCCTCCAAATGGCAGCAATACCTGCTCACCTCCCCTCCTTGACCCACACAGGGCCCCAAAGCAGTTACCACCTCAATGGTGTATCTCCTCTGGCAGACTCCTTATTTCTCCTCCTCTCTTATTCAGACTCATAGAAAGACAAAAAAACTTTCCATAGTGTAGTATATTTATTTAAGAAAAGGGTAAAGCCACAAATAATTCCACTCACATGGTCCTCTTCATCAATAAGCGTTTTTACCACAGCCTATGGGTAAATCTGCATGCACTTAGGGGAATCCAATATGAACCTAATTCGTCATTTCCTGGTGACGCATGTCCGGACACCGCGGCCATATTGGATTCCCCTAAGTGCATGCAGATTTACCCATAGGCTGTGGTAAAAACACTTATTGATGAAGAGGACCATGTGAGTGGAATTATTTGTGGCTTTACCCTTTTCTTAAATAAATATACTACACTATGGAAAGTTTTTTTTGTCTTTCTATGAGTCTGAATTATGCAGGCCATAGATGGGGAGAAAAACTGCAGATTTTTCTTTTAAAAAACGAAAAAAATCGGTTGTTCAAGTGGCCGACGTTACCATCAATGGTAAAAAAAAATCGGCCGATTTTCTACCCGTCTAGAGCCGGCAAAAAGTGTCCATGCAGAGAGCTCTGCTATTTCTTTGACAGTTCTCTGACAGTTCCTTGACATTTATAGAAGTTGCAACAATGTATCTATTTGTTTCCATTTAGGATACAGATGTTTTTATTCGGAAACAAATAGATACAATGTTTCAACCGCTGTAAATGTCAAGGAACTGTCAGAGAACTGTCAGAAATAGCAGAGCTCTCTGCAGAGACACTTTTTGCTGGACTGGAATTCTTCTTATTTTCATCCTACTTCTTCTTCTTCTTCATCCTCATCCTCTTCTTCTTCTTCTTCATCCTCATCCTCATCCTCATCCTCTTCTTCTTCTTCTTCTTCATCCTCATCCTCATCCTCTTCTTCTTCTTCTTCTTCTTCATCCTCATCCTCTTCTTCATCCTCATCCTCTCTCTTCTTCTTCTTCTCCTCTTCATCCTCATCCTCTTCTTCATCATCCTCATCCTCTTCTTCTTCATCATCCTCTTCTTCATCATCCTCATCCTCTTTCTTCTTCATCATCCTCATCCTCTTCTTCTTCTGCATCCTCATCCTATTCTTCTTCTTCATCATCATCCTCATCCTCTTCTTCTTCATCATCATCCTCATCCTCTTCTTCTTCCTCTTCTTCTTCTTCATCCTCATCCTCTTCTTCATCCTCATCCTCTTCTTCTTCATCATCATCCTCATCCTCTTCTTCTTCTTCTTCTTCATCATCATCCTCTTCTTCATCTTCTTCTTCTTCATCCTCATCCTCTTCTTCTTCCTCATCCTCTTCTTCTTCCTCATCCTCTTCTTCTTCATCATCCTCATCATCTCTTCTTCATCATCATCCTCATCCTCTTCTTCATCCTCATCCTCTTCTTCTTCATCCTCATCCTCTTCTTCTTCTTCATCCTCATCCTCTTCTTCTTCATCCTCTTCTTCTTCCTCTTCTTCTTCTTCATCCTCTTCTTCATCGTCTTCCTCTTCTTCTTTTTCTTCTTTTTGTCTTCCTCTTGCAGGTCACTGCTCATGCGCAGATTTTTTATCGGTAAAAAATCGGCCGATTTGCCCACTAATTGCCGCGAAAATCTGCCGATCGGCAAAATCGGCCGATTTTTTTTTCCAACTTTACCGAAAAAAAAAACGGCCAAAATACCGAAAAACGGCCGACCAAATCGCCCACTAACGATCCGAAAATCGGCCGAAAAATCGGCCGATTTTCGACCCATCTATGGCCTGCATAAGAGAGGAGGAGAAATAAGGAGTCTGCCAGAGGAGATACACCATTGAGGTGGTAACTGCTTTGGGGCCCTGTGTGGGTCAAGGAGGGGAGGTGAGCAGGTATTGCTGCCATTTGGAGGAGATTATTTGCACCTAGAAGTGGAGATCACGTGTGTTTTCGAAAAGCACAGTCACATGCATGGACATTTTTTTTGTTTCACTTATGATGTATATGTCATGTGTATGAATTAGGCACTATTTCATGCGGTTAATTAATTTGTTTCACTTATTTATTCACATTCCGTTTTGAATTTTGATATATGCACGGTACAATAGGTTTTTAAAGTGTGTGTTGTATCACTATAGTTTAATCATATCTGGTTGCACTATTTTTTTCTCCCACCAGAGGGAGGCATTAACGTTCATTATATAGAGTTGTTACACAGGAATATTAGAATTATATTCATATTAATTCATTTTTAATTTTTTTCAAATGCACTTTACTGTATTTATGTGATATAAGTGCTTCACTATTTTTTTCTTTTTGTTTGCACTTATTGGTATTAGTCAAGTGATAGCAGCTGTATTATAATAATCATTCCATTGAGCGCAGGAGGATTCCTTATATTTTATGTTAAGTTAACAACACCCCGATGGCGGTCCGCAAAACGTGGTGCGATGTGCAGAATCGGATCGCATAGGTGTGAACACCCATGTGATCCGATTCCCAAAAAAGGGTCCTGCACATTTTCAGTGCGGGTGCGGTGCAATTGGAGCCATGCAAAATGTATGGCTCCAATCGCAACCACACACAAATTTCATGTGATTTGCACAGGAATGCGGTGCAGTTCCTGTGTGAATGACATGCGATATACCGCACCGCATATATGAGAACCCAGGCTAAAAGATTATTTCACCCAGCATTCCTTGTTTGTTTTGGAAATGGGTACTTTCCTACATTTCTAAATCTTCCATACAAGCCTTCTGCAACCAAAGTGCCCAGGCACCATGGGGAGTCTTCAGATGTCTTCAGGGGTGCCTTGGCAAAATTGTCTGAAAACTATATACAAGCCAGTGGATGGATGAAGCCTGCCTTTTAGTTATACAAAGTCACAGGTTTTCATTGTGCACCATTACAACCTTTCTAAGAAGCAATGTCATCAGTTGACGAGGAGGACGTTGAGCGCCTGTACACCCTTGCCCCTTCCCTGTCCCTCTCCATCAGCACTGGGGTCATCATATTAGCTGAGTGAGGGAGACAAACCCTGGAATACTAGTCAGTACTAGGGTGCAAAGGTGTATTTGCTTTGGAATAATATAGCGCCTCTGAATTAGGTGTCCTACGTGTTTGAATGTTGCTGCATTGTATAAAACTATTAGCTTTGTTTTTATATCTTAGAATGGGGTGCCTCAAGATTGTGCAGAATTTTGAGGGGTGCCTTGACCGAAAAAAAAGTTGAGAAACACTGTTCTATACTAAGTGTATGCACAATGACTGGGGAAGCTCAATGTGTGCTTTTCTAGCAGAATATTTTTTTGATAGAAGTTAAGTTAAGGTATACATCCAATTTGCACCAAACTGAAATTGCTACTGTATTGCAGCTCTATGAGAAATATGGAGAAATCTTCACTGTACAGTTTGGACCAAAGAAGATTGTGGTGATCGCAGGGTACAGGGCTGTGAAGGATGCCCTGGTCAACCAAGCTGATGATTTTGGAGAAAGAGCAGATATACCACTCTTCACACTGATAAGTAAAGAAAAAGGTCAGCTTAGAGTTACCATTTTCTGAATAGATTATCTTTTTTTCTGAAGATTTTTATTTATTTTTTAACAGGTACTTATATAGCGCAGTCAATTTATTTATTTTTATTTATTTCAGGTACTTATATAGCGCCATCAATTTACGCAGCACTTTACATATATATTGTACATTCACATCAGTCCCTAACCATCAAGGGGTGTACAATCTAAGGTCCCTAACTTACATTCACACACACACATACTAGGGCCAATTTATACAGGAGCCAATTCACCTACCAAAATGTCTTTGGAGTGTGGGAGGAAACCGGAGCACCTGGAGGAAACCCATGCAGGCACAGGGAGAACATGAAAACTCCAGGCAGGTGGTACCATGGTTGGGATTTGAACCAATGACCATGGTACTGCCAGGCAGAAGCACTAAACATTTAGCCACTGCGCTGCCCAATTTACACAGCACTTTACATAATCTGCATATATTGTATATTCACATCAGTCCCTGCCCTCATGGAGTTTACAATCTAAGGTTCCTAAAGAAAAATTCATACATATACTGTACTAGGGACAATAAAGATCTTTTTTTCCAGTTCATTCTGAACATTGCCTTGACCTCACTACTGCACACATTAGGTTGTTTTAGAACTACACCGTGTTCCAAATTATTATGCAAATTCTATTTAAGTGTCACAAAGATGAAATATTTTGTTTTTCAGTTTAACTCATGGATGGCATTGTGTGTCAGGGCTCTTTTGATCACTGAAAACAATCTCAGACACCTGTGATAATTAGATTGGCCGGTGAGCCCAATTTAAGGAAAAACTACTAAAGGAGGGTGTTCCACATTATTAAGCAGAGCACCATTTTGAAGCAATATGGGGAAGAAAAAGGATCTCTCTGCTGCCAAAAAGAGTGAAATAGTTCAATGCCTTGGACGAGGTATGAAAACATTAGATATTTCACGAAAACTTAATCGTGATCATCGCACTATTAAGAGATTTGTGGCTGATTCAGAGCACAGACGGGTTTGTGCAGATAAAGGCACATTGAGGAAGATTTCTGCCAGATCCATGCATTGGATCAAGAGAGCAGCTGCTAAAATACCTTTACATAGCAACAAACAGATATTTGAAGCTGCTGGTGCCTCTGGAGTCCCACGGACATCAAGGTGTAGAGTCCTCCAGAGTCTTGCAACTGTGCATAAACCTTCTATTCGGCCACCAATAACCAATGCTCACAAGCAGAAAAACGGCTGCATTGGGCAGAAAAATACACAAAGACTAATTTTCAAACAGTCCTGTTCACTGATGAGTGCCGTGCAACCCTGGATAGTCCAGATGGATAGAGTAGTGGATGGTTGGTGGACGGCCACCCTGTTCCAACAAGGCTGCGACGTCAGCAAGGCGGTGGTGGAGTCATGTTTTGGGCCGGAATCATGGGAACAGAGCTGGTCAGCCCATTTAGAGCCCCTCAAGGTGTAAAGATGACCTCTGCAAAGTATGTGGAGTTTATGACTGACCACTTTCTTTCCTGGTACAGAAGGAAGAACTATGCTTTCCGTAATAAAATCATCTTCATGCATGACAATGCACCATCTCATGCTGCAAAGAATACCTCTGCATCAATGGCTGTTATGGGGATAAAAGGTGAGAGAAAGCCATGGTGTGGCCTCCATCCTCCCCTGACCTCAATCCTATTGAGAACCTTTGGAGCATCCCCAAGCAAAAGATCTATGAGGGTGGGAGGCAGTTTATATGCAAAACAGCAGCTCTGGGAGGCTATTCTGACATCTTGCAAACAAATTCAAGCAGAAACTGTCCAAAAACTCACAAGTTCAATGGATGCAAGACTTGTGAAGCTGCTATCAAATAAGGGGTCCTATGTTAAAATGTAACGTGGCCTGTTAAAATGTTTAAAAAGTTAAAATGTTGTTAAAAGTTTGATTGAAATAGCTTTGGATTTCAGTAAATATGCTGCAAACACAACAAATGACAATTTTCAGTTCTTTACAACCTATAAAGTGTTTTGAAACTTACTGTGCGTATTAATTTGGAACAGTGCATTGGAAGTGTTTTATGTTTAAAAAAAATACTGTTATCATTAGGAGGTTTGTTCAATAAAATTTGAATTGTACTCTTAATAGTTGATAACATGAGAATTATGCTGACTCTTATTTATATCAATTATTTAGGCAAATGAAAAAAATATCCTTTGCATAATAATTTGGAACACGGTGTAGTTCAGCAATGTTTTGACCACAATTTTGAAGATCAATCTTTACGTGCATAAGGTTTGAGCATGAGTTACCATAAAACTCTCCTAACACAGCAATGTTATACAGAGGTTACAGGAGCAGAAGGGTAGCTGTCTAGGCTCTCACTTTTTTCTTGAAGAAAGTGGTGAATGATATTTGCTGATTATTTACTGTGATTTAGTGCACATTGGGTATGGTTTTTTTTCTAATTAAAGCCTAAGTTTACTTAGGGAAAAAAAAAGAATAAGCACAAGGGACATTCCTTCAATGCCCCCCCCCCCCCAGTAATTGTGGGGGTTAATAGAACAAAGGTAGCTGTCAAAGGCAGCTCTTCCATTTTTAGAAAGACCTTTCATTAATCTGCTCATCCTCCATTCATAGCTAACGTTTCATGTATAGACTTCAAGTAGATCTATAGGCAATAGTTGTTTTTTCATTTTGCATAGAGTAAGGCAGGGTTATAACCTTTGTCAGATTTTTTTTTCCATCAGTGTCCTGTTGTGGAAATAGTGTCCCCATTGGAATAGTTCCCCTCTATTACTTCTCTGGGGATGACCTAAAATGTGGGATTTTCTTTTACTTTCACTTTCAATGATAATGGTAAACAGGACAAATAGAGAGGGCAAATCTCCTAAGAGGACCATAGACAGCAATAAAAACTGTCAGGTGTTCTAATCCCTCTCCACTCTCTCCAAAACTAAAAAAAACAGGTTTTGCCTGTAGCTTTACATTAAGGTGGGTACACACTATAAGAAAATTGGATGAACAGTCGTCTGGTTTTTCTCAATGTTTCACAGCAAGTGGAGCCCAAGGTTGGTACTAATTGTACAAAAATTCTTGAAGGACAAGGGCTCTTTTTTTTTGTTTGACGAAGAAACATTGTAGCATAGATTAATTTTGTTTATTGTTTCTGATCATGTGCAGTCTGATCATGCGTATTCGATTATTCTATATTAAATGGAAATCGTTAGTTCTGTTCACGTACAAGAAAAATTTTGGAGTTTGTCACTTAGGAAATTTTTGTTTGAAAGTCTGAATTGGATGTCAAAAGTTGTACACACACTGTACGAAAATCGAATGGTCATTCCTTGCGTGGAATTTTTCTTAAATTTTCCCACTTTAGGCTACAGGGTATCATAATAAACTGTGTGGTTACATGTTATTATGTGTTTTTCAGGCATAGTGTTTTCTAATGGAGAACAATGGAAAGCCAGTAGGAGGTTTGCACTCTCAACTCTTCGAGATTTTGGAATGGGAAAGAAAACAATAGAAGCCAGGATACAAGATGAATTAATTCCTCTTATAGAACATTTCAAGTCACACAAAGGTAACACATTCTATTAAACACAAACTGTCTGCCTTTTACATGGGGAGATGGCAATTCTTAAATGGGACCCTAAACTGTGAACGTTGTGCTACAAAAGACTACAGAGGTCAAAGGACTAAACACAGGTATTGCCTGTGGACTCTGTGCAGCTGATCATGTCCTCAATACTGACATACCAATTCTTGTCCTGCACTGTGTTTTTGTGTGTGGTGATGGCCACCATGATAGAAGAGCAGGGCTCTGCTTCCCCATATCCAAGTTTCCTTTACTGGTGATTGGTAATGTGATGACTGGTGGGGGAATATTCAAAAACAGCTGTATAGGTGCTGGAATCACACATCCACATAATGAATGAAGCACAGCAGGGAGAGTCTGACACTGCATGTCCTCAGTTAAAGCTTTCTCACCAGCAAGGAGAACAGTGAAGCACAGTAGTGACATCACCAAATCTCACTACACATCACTTAAGACTTGTGTTCACAGGTACAGTGCTTTTATTTTCACACTGCCTACATACAGCTCTAGGCACAAGTGCACTGCTATTTTTCAGTTTAACTTTGATACATGAAAAGAGCTGAAAATTTTGAATAAATTTCCAGAGGAGCCATTTCCAGACAACTAAATAGATTGTTATTTTGTAGCCACTTATCTACAAAGTCTATTGTTTCCATTTTTGGCACATATTAAAATTCTAATTTTAGGCCTGAAGATTTGTTAAACTCCACAAACAGTACACATTTTCTGAAAAAAATACCCTGTGTAATAAAATGCTTGTAGGCTCAGTTTTGTATGTCACATGATATTAAGTATACAGGTTTATGAAATGCAATTATAAAATAAATGTAAATGTAATGAAAAAAAATACAACATATTTTATATATCTGAACAGCAGAACACAGTGACTAACTTTGGTACGCAAAATTGTTCATAGGCTTTGCTTTAAAAGCCTTTACATCATTTTAAAGCTAGCTATGAACTATTATTATTGCTCTCACTCCCATGTTTGCAGAGATATGTACAATATGTAGTGCATTCATCCTGTTTGTACACATGTACAGTATGTGTACTTAGGGATGCAGAACGTGACGTTTATATATTTTTTAAATTAATTTTATTGTTATCAACTAGAGGGGGCATAACACTTTTGTGATGGCTTACTGTATTACTGTGACAGGCTCTCTTTTTTGAGACATCAGGGGTCTATTAGACCCCTGATGTCTCACTTGCCCTCCACTGAAGATAATGGAGCACAGATTATGCAGTGTGTTCGTCTGCAGAAGTATTTTGGGATTTACAATCATTTATTATCCAAGTGCCTAAAAAAATACTTATCTTTGTTGCTTATTGCAACTAATCAGTTTAGAACTTTCTGTACAGGTTTAAAATGAAGGGAAGAATCTGAGAGAGGAAACCAATAAATGTGTCTCATGTATTAAAGTATCATTGAGAAGAACTGTCTAGAAAGGCTAGATTCACACTATATGCAGGTGTGGGAATCACTTGTTTTCCCTCACCTGCATTAAAAACGCACCGATGTTAGCAGAGGTGCCATTCATTCATAATGGCATCCCTTGCACTGGAAACCATACAGCATTGTTTCCCATGATGGGAACAGCCTAGTACTATGCGGTTTCCCTTCCCTTTTGGAAAAGGCAAAGGGACATTTTTCCAGTGTTTTCTGTAGGTACAGCAGCCCATTCAAATGAGTGGATTGTTGTGCCCATGCAAAAGCGGCTGCCGGGAGACAGAGTGTGAACTTAGCCAAAGATTTAAATACCCAAGACACAGAAATGTTTTCTGGAGACGCTTTCAGAGTAAATTAATACACAATTTTTTTCCCTTTTATTTATATGCTCCAGAGAAACCATTTGACACAAACGTCATAATGAACTGTGCGGTGTCTAATGTTATCTGCTCTATCATTTTTGGAGAAAGGTTTGAATACAACGATCCAACATTTAAAAAACTCATTCGAATAATGGATGAAAATGAGAAACTGGCTGGTTCACCTAAGATGATGGTAAGCACTGCATATTAATATTTTATGGGCATTAGCTTATTAAGCCTGCACATACACAAATGTTAACATATACAGAGCCATAAAAAGAATTCACCCTTTTGGAAGTTTTCATGATTGACTATTATAGAACACTGAATTAAGATTAAGATTTTTTTTTTTTACTAATCAAGGGAAGTGTCTTTCATGTCAAAAGAGATAATCGAAAAATTATTTAAAGGGTATGTAAACCCTAACAATTAACTTCTCTGGCTCGATACATTTTGATCTGTTAAATAATCAAGTGAAAGCATTTTGTTCTATAAGAGCAAGTGGAAAAAATTGTTGATTCTTCAAAAAGCTACTCAGCTAATAACGCTGTTTTTTCTGCCTTTGTTGCATTCATCGGTTACATCTACAGGTCTACAGAACAACCCCCACTATGGGGATGAGTGGGGAAGGTTATTGTAGTCCTATTCTAGGGTAACAACACTGCTTTTTTTTTTTATAGATACAATATGCTGAGTGAACATTTTCTTGTGTAGTTTTGGCTTTATACTCAGGATCTTTATCTTGCTGGAAGACATATCTTATCTCCGGACTTGATACTCGGGAATTGGGATCATTATCTTGCTGAAAGACATACTGAATCTTATCCCCTGACTAGATTCAGGTTTTCTGCAGATTGCATGAGATTTTCTTTCAGAATTTGCAGCATTTTACTGTATTCTTTTTACCCATATTTCTGCCCATAAACCTTCCCACAGCAGAATGCTACCACCACCATGTTTCTTGGTGGGGATGGATGATTTACAATGATTTGCAGTGTTTGCCTTACACAAAACATGGTACTTGTTTTTATGAACCCAAATCTCCAATTTGGTCCCATCAAACTATGGAATCTTTTTTCAGCTTTCTTCAGAGTCTCCTAAGTGCCTTCTGGCAAACTGTAGATGAGGTGTCATGTGAATTTTATCTACCAGTGGCTTTGTGTTTGCCATGCTGCCATAAAGCTGTGACTGGCGAAGTGCCCAGGCAGCAGTTGACTTGTAGGGACTCTTGGATAGGACCACAAGCATGGCAGAAAATGCAGACATCTGACATGCCTGCATATGAAAGGTTATTTGGATGGATTTGTTCTACAAAAGAATCCAATTAAGTAGAAATTGTCTTTTTTTAATGGTGTATTTGAAAGTCAGGGGACAAGGCCAGATTGCCACATGGTGTACTAGATGTGATTCAAAATTATTATGTATGTAAACTAAAGTTCTAAGAATTACTGGTTTGTCTCCACAGCTGTTTAACTTTTTTCCTCGAATATCAACCTTTTTTGGAACGCACAAAGAGATCATGCAGCAATTTGAAGAGCTCAAAGATTTTGTTTTAAAGCGCATCAAACATCAGAGACAAATGTTTGATGCAAATGCCATCTCTGGATATATAGATGCATACCTTTTGAAACAAGAACAGGTATATGTTTTTCTTATATAATGTGTTGGATTTATAAATGAACCGTGTGTGATTTTGTGGTTTCCTTCACATTTGTGAGACTTTTTAGCACTCAGTGACACGTGAATCATTCCAAATGTTGTTTTTCACATTTTCCAGTCTCTGTATGGCATTGTCTGTCTGATGTGAAGTCTCTTACATGGTAGTCTGTCAGACAGGTCAGTGTAATGGCTTAATTCGCATTTAGGGGTGTTCATCTGTCCCCAACCACAAGTAATCACTGGCCGTGAGATTACGTCTGAACATCAGCAGACAGTTGAGACCGTGGTCAGCCTATCCTTGCTTTGGACAGGCTCGTGGCCCCAACTGTCTGCATCCACCTGTATATCCAGTCACAGGAATCGTCTGGATTCCTGCCATGGCTGGCATTTTTTTGTCATGTAAATGGGGCTTAAAAGTGTTGTCCATTTTTTATTGTAGCAAACTCCTTCTTGAAAGGAAGACTCTACCATGGCAGCCTCTCTCTCTAACAAGACTTCTTTGACAGTCTGGAAGTCCCTTTCGTTCTTACCTCTCTTTCATGACAGTCTTTCTCTAAAAGGATAATCTATGATATGGCAAAGTCTTATTCTCTCTCTCCAAATATTTTCATGAGTGCACATGCTGCAACCCCATTCCCCATATTTTATCACTTGTAGTATTTTGTTTAAAGTAGAAGCACAGGTAGATTTTTTCCATTATGAGAGGGTTATAAACCTTATCAGTTTTTTGCCATCTGTGTTCCATTGAGGAGATTTAATTTCACTTCCTGTCCCATAGTCAGAATAGGAAGTAAGAGGAAATCCCTCCAAAGTGAGGGAATCTTTGGTTGTCACCAGGGTCACCAGAATTAGTGTCCCTGTGGGAATATTTTTCTCCTATTAAGACAATATTGGGATTATTCTCTCCGTGCACCTGCTAGTATAGACTTGACCTCTGTTAAGTAGTTGCTGCTTGCACTATAATGCATTTCCCACATCAACTAAAACAAAAAATAAAAAGTGCTGAGCAACACCTCTGTGTCTCAGATAAATTACTCCTACTTGGTTATTGTGAGTGCTCCAACAATAAATTAAATAATGAGTAGATACCACTACTATAAATCAACAAAAATACTCAAAACAACCAATATCACTATTTCATTCATCAGATAATGATATGTGCACCCATTTATATTGATGAGTGACAATAACACTTATTATCCTTATAGTGACAAAAATAATATAAATCACATAAATGTGTCCATCATATAAGTCCCTTCAATTGGGCCTTCTCCAAAGTGATGAAAAATACTTCTTCCTTAATCCTTCACATGCATCAACAGCACAAGTGAGTCCCATCACCATTCATCATGTGCACTTACCTGAACTTGTGGACCTATTAGTGTAAGCAATATGTCAAATGCGCCTTACCCTTTAAGAGGTCTATTCCCAGGTCTTCACTACTCTCTCCCTCCTGGGATCTCTCCACTGGCCCCAGTATGAATCACCACCAATATGCAGTCTCCACTTGCTCCCCCGTTCAAAAAAAGAAGGAATAGCAATAGTGCTTTACCATTATAACACAAAATCCCTTTATTAAAAAAGCTTTAAACATTAAGGTGCATTCAGACAGCAGATCACTTTAACTGGTTGCCACAATATCTGGGTACAATGTCCCCTTAAGGTGAAACCTCAGCATCATCTATTTTCAGTGATCGAGTGGCACTTTCTGGTAGACATGATGATGTCAGTGGCCCTGCCCTGACAAATGTTGTCACACCCATGTGACTTTATTGATGTACCATAAATGAGGGAATACTTGGTTGTCACCAGGGACACCAGAACTAGTGTCCCCACTGGAAGATTCCCCCCCCCACTACTGTTCTGAAGACAATTCAACTTTGTGACTTTCTTTTGCTCTAAGTATTAACAATAAATAGGCTGAATCTCTCTAACAGGGACACAGACAGCAATAAGAACCTACCAGGTGCTCTAGTCCTTCTCCTAAAGTTTTGCCTTTAGTTATAGTATATTTTCTAAAATATCTTTTAGTTTATTCTGGTCACTGAAATGAATGTATGCGCAAGTGCTAAATGTACACATAGGCTCTACATAAACAAGTGTTTGGAGGCAGAAAAAAAGTCAAATGCCTGTCATACAGGCATTTTTTAGCTGCCGTGTGCACAAGGCCTTATGGGTTTTAACAAATAGATTATAGATTAGTAGCACAAGAGAAACTAATATACGAGGGGCGTTCAAGTCAAACCGGGACTTTTAATTTTACACGTATTAGAAGGGATGATAGCGTGGTGGTACTACATGCAGTAGTAAGTGGCAAGTGTGTCCTCTTACAATGGTAGTGGGTGCATGGAACAGCGTGTGATGATGAATTGTCTTGTGAACGAAAGCGTTAAACCCAGTGATATCTACAGAACACTTCAAGAACAGTACGGTGATGAGATGTTCAGCCGCAGTAAGACATTTGAATGGTGTAAACGTTTCAAAGATGGCTGTATGTCCATTAGTGACGTTCCTGGCCATGGCAGTTCCCAGCCAATAGCAGCAAGGCTGTGGATAAGGGGGTACCACCAGGCCTCCTGTACGGGGCCCAGGACAGCAGGGGTCCAGGCAGCTGGGTGAATTGGATGTGGGCAGGGAGGGTGTTCGGCACAGGGGGCTGCAATTACTGGATCCGATCCCTTGTATGACTCTCTCTGCAGCAGTTGAAAGCTGGCTTCTTCTCCTCTCCCTCCCACTGCCTTTCAGCTGCTGCAATGAGAGCCATACTGGGGGTCAATTCCAGCAATTGCTCCCCCCCCCGCTGCACCCATTACCCTCCCTGTGCACTATACATTTCCCCTGCTGCCAAGGCGCCTGTCATGAAACAAGTAACAAATCTTTCTGTGGGAACGGTGAACACAATCATTCACGAAGTGAAGCAGGCTGTCCTAGGATGCTTTAGGCATACTGACAAATCCTTCTATGCCAAAGCTTTCCAGGCATTAGCTAAATGCTGGGATAAGTGTATAAATGTGGCAGGGGAGTATGTTGAAAAAAAGAAAGCAGTTTCCACTCCTTGAAATTTGTTATTTTATTACATAAACTCAAAAGTCCCGGTTTGAGTTGAACGCCCCTCGTATTTACGTTTGTTGCATTGTGGTATTAAAGGAGAGCTCTGCACTATTATTTTATATTTAGTTATACTTTAATTTCCATAGCCTGGCAACATTTTAATTAAAAATATAACCAGGAAATGTTCAGGGGTTTTAACATTCACCCTTTATCAATTAGAGTGAAAGTTCTATTATACACCTTTCCCCACTGAAGTACAGATGTTGGTGAATGTCATTAAATGTAGTTTCTTTTCAGCTGGGGAATCCACAACTAATATGTTCCGTAAGTTCAGAGAACATTACTAAGCAAATATGCCATTATTATGCTGGTGAATCCATTATAAATGTGGCCCTTTGTCTTTTCTCTTTTCTTAATGGGACAAGGCTCCTTCATAAAGCGTATAATATTTAAAAAAAACGTAGGATGATAAATAAATAATTAGTGTCTGAATCATTTGATATTTGTGTTTTTAGGAGTCCTCCAAAGCTGAAACGTACTTTGATGATGATGAAAATCTGGTGTACTCAGTTCTGGATCTCTTTGGAGCTGGGACCGAAACAACATCTACAACACTACGCTGGGGCATTTTGTTGATGATGAAGTATCCAGAAATACAAAGTAATTTTGTGGCTTTACAAAGTGATGTCATTTTGGGGATAAGTTTGCTTGACTAGTCTGCTCCACCTTTACTTCTTACAGGCTATTTTCTTTTTAGATGTTGGTAGACTTGGAAAAAGTAAATATCCCTGTCTGACCCCTTTTTGTAAATTTCACCTCATTTCCTGACCCACTTGTCAGCATATGCCTCATTATGCTCAAAGGCTATTTTACTGTCCCAGGGCCCCACAAACGGAAGGACAGCATTTCAATAGTTACCCTGCCAGTGACACCTGTTCTGGCAGCAACTACAGAGACGTTTTGAGAGTGATATCACAATCTTTGTCACCAGACCTTAACATTACACAGTTCCATGGTGGATTACTCCAGCAGACTAGGAAGGGAGCCACAACTTGACATTCACAGAGCCCAGTAGTTTCAGGCCAGTTGCCTTGGATCAGCCCCATGCCGCAACTGAGGGCTAAATATTGGTATCCCAGCCTTTTAGAGGGGTGTATCCTACCATTTGGACCTGCGTCTCCTGACCACCACCTCTCCCTTTCCAAGGCTGCTTCTTCTTCCTTAGCTTCATGTTACTCAGTTACCATGAAGCGCTAACCTGTAGTATCATACTATGTTCCCCGAAGCATTGTCACACTGAACTAACACTCTTCTGCACACAAGAACAAGCCCGTCATTACAGCTTAATCATAGAATGCTTTATTGATGATTTAACATAACAGTTCCAGTACAGTTCTTTTGCACATGGCAGAATCAATTGTCATTCTCATGTAGCAATAACAGTGCCAACATCTTTTCATCACTTAAATATACGCTGGGGTGTGTGTACCTTCCCTGGATAAGAAAACCTCCAACAGGTGAAATAAGGAATAGTCTGAATTCATAGCCCCTTTTTAAGGGGCCCCGCTGCAGGGTAGCTCAAGCAATTACATCTTTCAATGTATGGTATCCAACCCCTGACACTCCAAGACCACAAGACCTATCTTCTTTCTGTATTTATCACCCCATGAAACAGGAGGAGGCATACCACAACCCATTTGGGGTTCTGCCTACACACTTACAGCCTATAACAGCAAGACAAGAAATGAGGAGAGCAGTTGTCAGCGAAGCAGGAAGTTAGAGACAGAGAAAATAGCCTAAAAGTGGTTTGAACCCTTACCCCATTATACTGACAGAAATTGAGGGGAAGTCTCCCCATTGAAGACATAGACTGAAACAAAAACTTTACAGGAAGTGATGGGCCAGAGTCAGTAAACATCATCCAGTGGCTTCTTAGCCACTAGGATAACTTTGGCATTTAAAGGAATCGCCTGCCCTAAAAAAATGATATGCATCTTGTAAGGTCTGGCAATGTTGAGGGAGCATCGAAGAGGTGGTGGCACAGTGCGAGGTGGTGGAACACCTTAGGGAGACAAGTCTGATTGCATTTTGACCCCCAAGACAATACTTGGCCAGAGTTCCAGTCAGGATTGGGTGAGTGTTTCTGCAACCATGGAAGTCCAAGAATGATGGGGCTAGAAGACTTAGGGAGGATCAGGAAGGAGATTTCCTCACAATGAAGAGCGCCAACATGCATAGTTATGGAGGTGGTCTGGAAGCGTAGAAGTCCTAAGGCCATGGTAGAGCCATCAACTGTAGATACTGATTGGGGAGTCTTCAAGGGGACAAGAGGAATGCCCAATTCAGTGGCCAAAGATTGCTCAATGAATTTCCCGGCTTCCCCAGAGTCCACATAAGCAGAAACCTGGTAGGCGTTCAGGGCCCAATGAATGGAGACAGGTATGATAAATCGAGGGAAGGTGGCAGGATTCAGGTTCTGGTCTAGATCACCTCCCTCAGAGTGACGTAGACCCGAGTTTCCCAGGCGGACAGAACATGACTTAATTAGATGACCTTCAGCCCCACAGTAAAGGCATAGACCAAATCTTAGGCGACATGATCGCTCTTGTGGAGTAAGGTGTGTTCGGCCTAACTGCATGAGCTCTTCAGATGTCTGTACGGTTGCAGAGGTAAGTTGATCAGGGACTTTCTGGAAAACAGGAGCAAAAGAACCCACTGGACGGCGACGTGGATGAGCCCTTTCCAGATCTTGCTACTGGAAGGGAATATCGATTTGGATGCTAAGAGCAATCAAGTCATCCAGGGTGGTGGGTATGGTTCTTCCAGCTAGTTCATCCTTAATACGGTCTGCTAGACCCTGCCAAAAGGTTGCAGAGAGGGCCTCATTATTCCATGCCAGTTCTGAAGCTAAGGTGCGAAACTGAACTGCATATTGTCCAACAGTCCTGCTACCTCGATGAAGCCAAAGAAGAGCTCCTGCGGCAGATGAAGTCCTGCCGGGCACATCAAAGGTTTTATGGAAAGCTTGCAGGAAGGCTGGGATGCTGCAAAGAGTTGGATCTTGTCGCTCCCACAGTGGTGAGGCCCAAGCCAGTGCTTCACCAGAAAGGAGGGAAATCATATACACCACCTTGGAACGGTCAGTAGAAAAATGGTGGGCTGCTAGCTCGAAGTGAATTGAGCACTGATTGATGAAGCCCCGACAAGCTTTGGGATCACCAGAGAAGTGAGGCGGTGAAGGCAGCTGGAGTCTCGAAGGACAGTGTTCCACTGGGGGAACAGCGGAAGGTGGAGCAGCAGGAACCGGAGCCGGGGCCGAATCAGAGGGTGAGGAAGTGAACACAATCTGTAGCTGATCCAACCGGGAGGAGAGTTCCTGCAGACAGTGCATGATTTGCTCTTGAAAGGCCTGCTGGACCTTGACTCTCAGCACCAAATCTTGAAGTTGTTCCAGGACAGGCTGCAGTGTCTCTGAAGAGCTCATGGCCTGAGCAAACTGTCAGCACCTGTGGTAGTGAGCTCTATTGATCCACAACTTGGGGTTCCCCAGGTCGCGGAGTCTAAGCCCCAGCCTGCTTGTTCACCAGGGCCCCTGATGGTGGAGATGGACTTGCAGCAGGCTGGGACCAGGTCGTGGCCCCCAGGTACACCCAGCTGAGGTGGAGGAGACCGCTAGCGGGAGCAGGGTACAACGGGAGAAGACACAGGGAATCCAATAGGCAAGCCGAGGTCAGGACAGGCGGAAAACAAGCAAGGTCAGGAACGAAGCTGGGGTCAGTACACAGATAGACAATAAAGGAATCACAGCGGAAACACATGGGAACTCCAACAACTAAGAAGTTGCTCAGGCAAAGTGGCCCAGTCTGAAGGGAAGGAAATAACACCCAGAGGACAGCAGACAACGCCCATAGAAGAGCACACACAAACATGAGAAGGGAACAGAAACAGGACTGCAGCAAGAAAGGTAAGAATACAAACGAAACTGCAGTCTAACTTGTGACACCTACTAACATGATAGGCAATATACAGTACTTACCTTTCCATCTGCCTATGTTTGAAACATCAGTACTTTATTCCTCCTGGCTGCTGCAAGTATTTGACTGATGGGTCAAACACCTGTTTTTCCTGCTGTATACTGTTGTTGCTCTCACCGGCTCATATGTCTTGTAGTGATGTACAAGCTTGTGGGAGAATCTACTTTGTGCAGCTTGAGAGCAGGTATTCCACACAAAAAAGTTAAAGTGATTCTAAAGACTTAATTTTTTTTTTTAATAACAAGTATATCTATACTTACCTGCTGTGTGCAGTGGTTTTGCACAGAGCAGCCCTGATCCTATTCTTCTCTGGTCCCTGGCCCCTCCCTCCTGTCGGGTGCCCCCACAGCAAGCATCTTGCTATGAGGGCACCTAAGCTTGTGCACGCCTCGGCCCCACCCCCTCTCTCTTCTCATTGGATCACTGGCTGTGATTCACAGCAGCGGGGCCCAATGGCTCCTTTCTACTATCATGCACCATTTCTTGTGCTAAAAAACAGCCCCTCAATTTTTCAAAGATTAGAGAAATCAGATTAAAAAAATTCTCAGCTATCTAAATGTTTTTTTGTAAAAATTAAATATATTTGGTGCATGCTTTTATTATCATTTTTTTCTACGCTGTTTCTTATTACAGTATATTGTTCTTATCTTCCTCTGAGGACTAAGGAACCACTCGTCTATGTTATGTAGAATAAGAGAGGGATGGGAGACTATAGCCTTGGTTCCCATCTATACATGCCCAGGTGTGGTTTACATGCTTTCCCGCATGTCATGTCTGGGGTAGCCCATGTGTTTTAATGAGCTGCCCTATCTTTGAGAAATGCAGAGAAAGAAGTCCCGGATCCTATTGCAAAATTGTGCCGCGCTCTGCTGTACCACCATGCAGTTTGGCGCACACAAAAAGGCACATGGTTGCTGATGTGTGGGGTGCCATTAAGAATGAATTACACACCTCTATGTCTGCTAAAGAGCAGCACATGTCTGTGTATGTCTGGAAAGTGTGTAATTTCCTGACACACATAGATGTTGAACCAAGCCTTACTCCTATCTTGTTTATGCTGTCCTGAAACAGAAGGGTGAGTGAACGTTATCACCCATGGACAGGAAGTGTGTTACTGGCAGGATCACAAGGTTAAAATAAAAAAAACAAAAAAAAAAACAATTAGGCCAACCACATCTAAAAACGTACATATTGATGCTGCTGTAATTTATTTACTGTTATTTTCTAGAAAAAATACAGGAAGAAATCCAGACACATATTGAACAAGGTCAGATGCCTAGAGTTGATGACCGCAAAAATATGCCTTATACTGATGCTGTAATACATGAAATTCAGAGGTTCAGTAATATCGTTCCTATGAATGTGTCACACACAACTCCAAGTGATGTGTATTTCCGAGGATACTGTATTCCAAAGGTAAGTTCAGAAAACCCCTCCTCATTTGTCAGTAGCATCATACACCAAATGAACAGATTCACATTAAAGAAATAATTCTAAGAATGTAGATTTCCTATATTGGGACTGTACAGTCAAAGGTAATCTCCACTCAGAAATTCCATTTTAGTTTTATATCGATAGCAGTTAAATCACATGCTAGCTAAGCAGCTCCAGTGAAATATCACTATCAGAAATCCCAGTTTTGCTCAAATGCCACAACCATTACGAAGCCAAATGCTGTTCCCAACCTGTTCCTTTTCCATCTGAGACTGAGAGATGGAATTGAGATGGACCCACCCTCGGGAGGACTCGAATAATGCCTTTCTTTACACCTTCAGTCTAACTGTAGCCTTCCATGCCCAGTAAAGAAATGTTAAAATTTTATCCAGTACAGAAGTCTGGTCTTGTTGCACAAAATCATTCCAATGATATCAGACCATCGCTGGAGATGCTGAGAACCAGGTGGTAAGCATCTCCATCTGGGATGGTCATGCTTACAAATTAGGCAATTTAGGAAGTCCATATTTCAAATGAGCTGCTTAATAATGAGCACTACATGGCTGGAGACACCAGAAGTAGCTGTCTATGTTTCCTGGGTCTACCAAAATGATAAAGAAGGGTTTGCTTTGTTTCTTAATTCTGGCAAGACAGGCGTTGATCTCATGACATTGGAAGTCCACCACTGTCCCAACTATCAGGGAATGGGTTAATGGAATGGAATGGGCTATTACTAAATAACACCATGTGGATGGAGGAAGCACTGGCTGATGCCAAATTTTGATTACCAAATTATGTGAATTGTGGTTCACATGGATTGACTTTTCGACCTTGCCACAGCTCCTTCTATTTCTCTGGTGACTTAACTTGCCACTTACATTCAGGATATACAGGGTTGGCTCCCCCTCTGGACTCTTCTTTTTTTTCTCTACTGTTACCATTTCAGCCTTTTTCTTTCTCCTCCACTCACTCCTGTCTCATCCTCTCCCTCATTATAGTAAAATATGGCATTCTGCCAGATACCCTCAACATCTTCCTCCTAGCATACACACAACTCTTTGAGGGGAACTGGACCTGTACTCACTCTCACTTTTTGTCATTTGATTGATGTTCTATTTTATTCTGACACTACTAGAGAGCTGGCATGTGCCAGTCCTACAAATAGCTTGCAATTTTATATTGGGTAATAACTTCCCGGTTATTGCTTTGTTATTTAGAAACGGTTTATGATGGATGTTGCTGATATATCTTTACATTTGCTGTTCTGCCATGCAACAAATAAATATATAAAAAAAAAAAGAAGATTGTATGATCAAATTGTAAGAGGCTGTAGCTGTAGCCATATTTGCTCACTTTAAGTGTATCTATAAAGCACAGACCCCACCCAAATTATAAATTCAGTAACCTACATATTACAAATGAAGATGTGAAGGAAGACAAGTACATGCTGCTGGGGTGGGCTATGTAAATATGACCCTGATGCTTTGCCTTCTTTGGGCAACACACAAGTTTAATTTCAAGGCTGGATAACCCTAGTCTTTCTGCTTTTGGTCAGCTTTATTCCTGCATTTGACCTGGACCTTCATGGGTCACTTGGGAAATGAAGAACAGTGATGGTGCACAGATGGAAAAGCACTCCCCTTCTTCACTATTATGGTGTAAAAGAACTAATGTTGTTTCCTGGATAGCAGTCTGTCAAGCCTGCCATGTCCCAAAAGTCCTGTTGCATCAAAGAAATAATGAGCTGTTCTGAGCTTAACCTGCCATAGCTGCCTGTAGACAAGCAGAGGTCCCCTTAACTGCTTCTCTACCACTGTACGTATATATACGGTCTGGTGTGAAAGTGGTTATACCAGGATCATGGATGAGGCTGCAGCCATAATCCTGATATAGTTTTTTAGCCCCAGCAATTCTGTTTCAGGTAAAAGTAATCCGAGCCAGACCTCCTGTGCAAATCTAAACTGGTAACCTATAAAGGCTTTTAAAGCAGTACCGCAGTTTGTTCCATGAGCATGTGCAATTTTAAAGCGTGACATGTTTTATATTTTACCAAAACAATTGGTATTATATTGTGCTTTTGTGTCTAAATTTGTTACGCTATTATAAAATATATGTCCCAATCACCAAACAGTGAAAATAAACAAAAATTTCAAAGAAAAGTCCCTTTTTTAACCAAAGTTCATATGCAATGAATAGCCATATCGATGGTGTCTTCAGAAGTATGTAAAAGGTGACTTCTGTGCCCACCACCACAAAGACACACTGCCTCTAACCAGATAATTAGACCCCAAATTATAGGTGGTCTAATGAAGCATGATGCTGGATATGCTTTGCTAGGTAATCTCCAAGATGGGGGAAGACACCATGGGGTTTATTTACTAAAGCTGGAGAGTGCAAAATCAGACTCCCTTCTGCATAGAAACCAATCAGCTTCCAGGTTTCATTGCCAAAGCTTCATTGAACAAGCTGAGGTTAGAAGCTGATTGGTTTCTATGCAGAAGGGAGTCTGATTTTGGACTCTCCAGCTTTAGTAAATAAACCCCCATGGATCATCCGTATCACAAGCTACTGTCTCCTTCCTATATGATCCGCTGTATGCTCAGTCAAAACAGTAAGACACCAAACAGTGTGATACCGTATAGCAATTTAAAAAAAATGATTAAAATTACACTTACAAAATCAACAATATTCACAAGCATGTAAATTGTGAATGTCGCTGGTGCTAGCTTCAGACAGGTGTGGGTAACAATCACTGCCCACCTCAAAGCACGTTTCGTCTCAATAGATTTTGTCAAGGGGATCAGGCGATCACGCTGATGTGCATGCTGAGTTTAAGTAGACAATCGTAAACCTACGGCAGGCACATCAACATTAAGACTAGTATTAAAAATTAGTTTCAAAGGTAAACTACACATGGCTAAATTAGCATTATTGTGCGTATAGGCAGAGATCTTACATAAATATGTAACATAACATTTCAGCTTACCATATAATTCTAGTATGTTATTATCAAACCCCTCTAGTAGTGAATGATATAATAGAATCATTCACATCCAGAAAATGAGGGTGCCTGGCTACACCATCTAGACAATCAGAGTCACTTGGGTAGCAACGCCAACCAGTTATGATGTAGATGCCTCCTCCATTCACAATCATTAAATAAAATGTTAAAGATTAAAATTAAATACATGAACAACATAATCTCTTTCTAAAAATTCCTTATTAATTACTAAAATCTGCACCAATCTAATTGTATATCATTACTCCTCACTCTTTACAAACACCATGTAATTCATGATAAATCAGTTAGTATGAAACAATACATCAGGGTGCTTTTAAGTCTTATTAATAAATAAGTTAATGTCCCATTCAGTATTATATCCATGGGGTACATAAGATTTCAAGTCAAAAATCTTCATTTTTTTCTAACTGAGAAACCCCTCTATAATCTTATTCCCTCCTCTCCAATTTGGTTCAAATTTACTTATACCTATAACCGTCAAAGATGATGGGTCCTTTTTATGGTATAAAGCAAAATGTTTTGCTAAACTGTGATCTTGGTAACCCTTTTTAATATTGTCTATACTGAATGTTCACCTATTCTGATGTATAAATTCCTCTTAGTTGTACCCACATACTGTATTGCTTCTTAAATGAACAACTCAACATGTATATTACATAAGTGGTAGAACATGTAATGAAATGTTTAATATTATACATCCTATTTGTCACTTCAGATCTAAATTCCGTTGTTTTCATAAAATTCCTCCCAATTAATGTACATACTTTATGTTTTTTGCAGGGAAAAAGCCTACTAAATTTCTAAACATAAATGGTTTTTGAGCTTTTTGGACAACTTTAGGAGCTATAAAATGTCTCAATGGCGTCACCTTTTTATATGTAATAGAAGTTTTGTCTGGGATTTTATCACCAATAATCTTGTCATTTTTTTATAATATCCCAATGTGTATTTAATATGTTCCTGACTTTATGATGTTTTATAGAAAAAGTGGTGGAAAAAGCCCACTCAAATTTACTGTTGTCCTATTTTTTTAAAAATTAAATTTAAAAGATATTCTCTTTTCATGTTAGTCATTTGTATGATTTCTGAATTTAAGTCCTGCTCATTATAACTTTTTACTACAAATCTATTTTTTGACATCTCTGCTTGCTGGTAAAAATCTGAGAAATTGGTGTAGTTCCGGTGAAGATGCATAAACTGACCCTTAGGAATACAACGTAGCCATGTGGGGTGATGACAAAGGCTGATTGGGATGTATCCATTTTTGTCAGGTTTTTTTTTTTTTAAAGTCTTAGTGGCTAATGATTATTTCTCTTTAAAAATAGTGAGACCTAAGAAATTAATTTCTGTGGAGCTCAGTTCATAAGAACATTTTATCCCCAAATGGTTATCATTCAAAAATTCATGAAATTCTGTGCTAAATCTTCTGTACCTCACCATATTAGAAGGTCGTCATCTATGAATCTTTTCCAGGTGACTATCTCAGTTAAATTCCTACAGTATATGGCATCCTTCTCCCAGTGGGCCACACTTGGAGAAAACTTACCCCCCATAGCTTCCAGTTTTCTTTAAAAAATACTGACCATTATGCCAAAAGAAATTGTGTCAAATCAGGGCTTGTCAAAATAGTGTCAACCGCTGTGCAACTTCTTGCTGGTCCCACTGCAGGCAGGTCTCTAATGCACCTAATGTCCTTGGCTGTGCTGGTGGTTCCCAGTACTTCTTGGTCAGCTCCAGGTACAGCAGCAGAAGGCGTGGCACGCGTTCAGAGCATGTATGTTCTGATGGGGAGGAGACATATATTGGCAAATGATAGTTGAGGATTATAGGGCACAGCCAACTCATGGAGATGCCCAAGTGTCAACATAGGTTAGTACAAAAAAAAATATCAAGCCTCCCTCTCTTAAACTAATTAAACTACATGCTCTTAAATTAAATTACAATAAATAAAATATAATAAACATATAAGGAGGATATTAAGGGAAAATTAATCAAATTAGGAATGGATTTCACTATGCACTGTAACATAGAGACC